GAAGGGAACCCAAAGGCCATCTAGTCCAACCCCCCTTGCAATGCTGAAGGATCTCTGACGGGATCATTGAAGGAAGTTCCCGCAGAAATCATCAGGCAGATCCGCTCCACTTCTCCGTGGGGAGGAGTTGCGGTGGACCGCGTGGCCACCCACTCTCTTCCGGGGGTGGGGGACGTAGTCCTGTGTTGCCCGGGGGATCCCGGCCATGTCAGTGACCGGCCAGCCAATCCGCTGGCCAGGGGCCGTGGCCAGGACCATTTAAACAGAGGCGTGAGCCCGAGGGCTTCCTCTTTGGCTGGCTTTCTCACTCACCTACCCTCCCTCCCTATTTTGCAGGTTTTAGTCATTGGCCTTGCTATGGACCTTGGCTGGTCGCCGTTGAGGGACCTGGTAGGAATTTTTCCACTTGGCAAATTGGCACAGGCCATGTGGTTTTCGCTTGACTCGTAGCAATCGTCACAACTTTGTTAGGGTTGCGGTTAGGCATTGTTTGACCTTGTGATGGGGGAGGGGAGATGTGGCCATCACCGGCCCCTCCAAGCTTAAGGGTATTCCGTTAAAGGAATCCGGGGGTGTGGATCTTGTCCGAAGCCCTGTTGGGGGCTAGGGCCTTGACACGACCCCGACGGGAACATCAGGGGGAGCTCGAGTTGGTCTGCATCGACGGGGCTCCCCCTTCCGGTGGTTTACCCTTACCGGACTCCCTGCGCATCGGGCAGGAGTCAGATATAGTCGGGTCCATTCAATGCCTAAGCCAATACCGCTCACATTCTGTAATCAATAAAGCTGTGGCCAAAATTTGCCCAATAACATTAACCTAATATCTGTGTCCTTGTGTATGTTATTTCTCAATGAGGGGGTGGCTTCGGGGTCTCGACACGCAACAGGAAACCATCTTGCTTTGCACCTTCTTCACACACACATCTCCACACCACCGGGGTCCTCTCGTTCCACCTTCAGCAAGTGCTCATTCCTGAAAGAAATTCGTGCACCAAATCCTGACCAGTCGTGGCCAACTCTGGGGTTGTGGCGCTCATCTCGTTTTATTGGCCGAGGGAGCTGGCGTACAGCTTCTGGGTCATGTGACCAGCAGGACTAAGCCGCTTCTGGCGAACCAGAGCAGCGCACGGAAACACCGTTTTCCTTGCCGCCAGAGTGGTACCTATTTATCTACTTGCACTTTCACGTGCTTTCGAACTGCTAGGTTGGCAGGAGCAGGGACAGAGCAACGGGAGCTCACCCCGTCGCGGGGATTCGAACCGCCAACCTTCTGATCAGCAAGCCCTAGGCTTTGTGGTTTAACCTGGTCATGACTGACCAGGTTTATTTAAAAAACAAAACGAAGCAAGCTGACTTGCCTTGAATCAGGTGGAACAGCAAATGAGACGTCGGTCACAGCAGGAGTTGCAATAGAAGGAATTTGGTTTTTGTATATATTTTTGGTAGCGGTGTTCGAAGGCACATCCTTGGCACTGAGCAAACATCAAATGGCTTCCAATATTAAATATCAAATGGCAAGGGATGAAGTCAAGCGACTGGAGAATCACAGCACCTGCTGTGGCTGCAGACACTGAAAACCTGTAACTGCTGCCTCCTATGTTGTTTTTGCCGCATTAGCAGCTCCAAGACTTAGGGCACAAGACTGGACAGTGTATCTGGAGGTCCTGGGCTGCTCAGATGACAAGACCCACCTCTCAGCCTGGCTGATGTAGTCCAAAGGAAAGCAGAGAAAGACATTTGTCACCAACTTGGCTGCAGGAGCTGCTGGTAAAAGGTAAAGGTACCCTGGACTGTTAGGTCCAGTCGCAAACAACTCTGGGGTTGCAGCGCTCATCTCACTCTGTAAGCTGAGGGAGCTGGCGTTTGTCTGCAGACAGCTTCCAGGTCATGTGGCCAGCATAACTAAGCCGCTTCTGCTGAACCAGAGCAGCGCACAGAAACGCTGTTTACCTTCCTGCCGGAGCGGTACCTATTTATCTACTTGCACTTTGACGTGCTTTCAAACTGCTAGGTGGGCAGGAGCTGGGACCGAGCAATGGGAGCTCACCCGTTGTGGGGATTTGAACTGCTGACCTTCTGGTCAGCAAGTCCTAGGCTCTGTGGTTTAACCCACAGTGCCACCCGCATCCCAATGGAGCTGCTGGAAGGAGGCATAAAAAGCACCATCCAACCGTCTTAGGGACTTCACTCTGTATTTGTGTAGGATTTCCTCCTCCTCCTCCAGATGGGTGGGGTATGAATAATAAATTCTTCTTCTTCTTCTTCTTCTTCTTCTTCTTCTTCGGCGATCCCTCGTAGCCGAGTCAGATTGTCTTCCATAAACACGGTTTTAACAATGAGTCCCTAAGTGACTGTGGAGGCCAGTTCTGGATCCACACGTCCTTCCACAGTGGGGACATTGGTTTCTGGGCGGGAGTTGATCACGGTGAGGGTTTGCCAAGCGTGCCTTCCTCTTAGCACATTTCGCCCTTGCGTCCTGAATTTGAGTGTCTTCAAAGCCCATGACACCTTGGTAAAGGCTGTTCTCCAACTGGAGCGCTCACAGGCAAGTGTTTCCCAGTTGTTGGTGTTTATACTACTTGTTTTTTTTAACTCCTTAGCCTTTTCTTCTCCTGCAGATATCCCACAAGGCAGCAGAGATTTAGGTTCAGAGTTTTCCTTCTCCAAGATGGGCTACCTTCCAGGTGTAGCAGTAAGTCATACCACTGTGATTCCTGCATTTCAGGGGGGTGGACTAGATGGCCTTGGGGTCCCTTCCAACCCCACCATTCTGTGATTCTATAATAAATTACTTTGGGAGGAAATCAAAACTCACAGGTAGAGCACCTGCTTTGCATGCAGAAGGTCCCCGAGAGTAGCTCCAGGTACAACAGGCAGTGTCCCCTGCCTGAAACCCTGGGCAGCCTCTGCCAGTCAGTGCCGACTACACTAATATAGATGGAGGCCAACAGCAGCTTTCTGTGTCCCTGTGCAGTTTTCTCCCCTTTCAGCCGAGCGAGGAAGAATCTCTGCGAGCCAAAGGGAGATTTGCAGGTCAAAACGAAGGCCTCTAAAATATTAATAAAGCAGAAGAAAATTCCCACTCTCCGTGTTATGAATTCTGCACCCAGAAGCGCACGCAACAAAAGGCTTGCCCTCCGCAGTGTGCCCAGAGTACACAACGAAATGAATTTTAACAAATAATAATAATAATCTCCTATTAGCTCGGTGAGCTCCGGAAGAAAGGGCAGGGATGGAACCTCGCCTCCCATAAGCCAGTTTTGTTGTAATAAGGAGAGTTTCTGACAGGGAAAGAGCCGGCGCTTGTTTTAATGATGCTGCTGCCATGTTTTCCTCGTGAGCATTTGGACAGGCAGGGACCTGTGGCCTGACGTAGCTGCAGAGCCTTAGCTGCGGGTTTCCTGCAATCCCCCAACCCTGTGCACAAGTTGAATACCTTTTGCGTGGTGAAGAGAGCTAAGCAGACGAAGTATCCACAGAAGCCAGCCTTCTGCGCTCAGCAAAGAAACCACACTTTTGGGCAGGGCTGCAAACGCAAGACTGGGGAACCAGAAATTACCGCATTTTTCGCTCTATAAGATGCACTAGACCACAAGACGCACCTAGTTTTTGGAGGAGGAAAACAAGAAAAAAAATATTCTGAATCTCAGGAGCCAGAACAGCAAGAGGGATCACTGCGCAGTGAAAGCAGTGATCCCTCTTGCTGTTCTGGCTTCTGGGATAGCTGCGCAGCCTGCATTCGCTCCATAAGACTCACACACATTTCCCCTTACTTTTTAGGAGGGAAAAAGTGAGTCTTATAGAGCAAAAAATACGGTATCTTCCGGCCGGCAGAAATTCATAGAACGCCGTCTGCACAGCTTTTAGCATCAGGAATATGGAAGGTGAACGAAAAGAGCTCTTTAGGAAGGTTTTCATAGAATCATAGAATTGGGGAATGGGAAGGGATCTCTGAGGATCATCTAGTCCAACCCCCTGCAACGCAGGAATCTCAGCTATGCCGGCTGGTTGCTATTAGAACTGTAACTCTAAGAACTAGTGCCTGAGCTTGCTTTTTTCCTCCTCCCTGTGCGCCCCCTTTTCCTTGTGTGCCATGTCTTTTAGACTGTAAGTCTGGGGTCAGGGCCTTCCTTCCTAGTGAAGCAGGCATGTTTGGGTCAAGGGGTTTAACTGAGAATATTTGGGGCTTGGAGCTGGAAATCTTGGGTTCAACCTCTAGTCGAGAATGAGCCTCATTTCCCACCTTTATCACGTTGCAAAACCAAGGAAGATGATTGGCCTCATAAGTCTCTGTGCTGTGGCTTCAAATGAGCTGAACAACTAAACATCCAGGTACCTTTGTGGAGGGCATTAGCGAGTTGTGTAATACAGCCAGGGAAGGAAACTCTCTATGAAAAGATAATGGGAGAGACACAGGGAAGTGTGAAATCACCTTTAAAAATAAACCCAAATGGAAAACAACACCAGACAATAAGATGCCATGAAAAATAACAGTCAGGCTATTACTGGAAGGTTTTAATCGCTCTGAAGCATGAAATGGCATAATTGTCTTGACTTTGCTGCGTTATCTTTCGAAACCTCCTCTATAAATGGAGCAAGGCTGAATGCCGGCTGAGAATCCCACGCCGTCATTCCCAACAAGGCAAGAACTTCAGAATGAAGATGAGCTGGATGCCTGGTGGATTCTACGGGAAGAAAAGAACGCAAGGATGCATCAAATAGCAGTGCCCCCCCCCAAAAAAACCATTACTGGATATATATGCATTTTGGGAAATGCCATTTATTTTTATTTCATAAAATTTGTACATTGTTTGATTGTTAAAAATAATCAAAAGTTTTGAGAAAAGAATAAAACAATGAATTTAAAAACAGCTACTTAAAGCAATCAAAAAATAATTAAAATCAGCATTGAGCTAAAAATGAATTAAAACACACAGCAGTATTCTAAGTATCTAGGCAGGCTTGTCTAAACAAAAAAATATATTTTGCCAAGCACCAAAAAGGGTGCAGTGAAGGCACTTGTCTGATGTCAAGTGGCAGGGAGTTCCGAAGTATATAAGATCGAATTCTTACAGATATGTAAGGATGTAACCTTGGTGTTAAATACCAGCGGTGGGAGCGCTCTGGAATCGGAGTAAAGGTAATGTAGACAAAGTCTGCGGGGCATCATGAAAATTCAGCACAAATGGTGCAGGTTTGCTGCCTCGAGATAACAGGGATCAGGCTGTGTTGTCGGCGCTCTCAAATCTTCACCACAGTTGAGACAGGAACCTCATGGCTAATTTGAAGAGGAATAAAATAAAAAGGCGTGCGTGCGAGAGAACTCGCTCAAGGCAGAGAGCCTAATGCGATCACAACACTTAACATTTTTATATCTGGTTTCAGATACTCAAAGTGCCTCGGCATCTATTATCTGAGCCATCTTCTCCAGAGGCCGAGAAAGTCAATGCCGCCCTCTTCAAATGCTAAATCCACACCAGAACTTTCTAACGGGAACGTGGGCCTGTTGAAATAAAAAGAGGATGACATAATAATACAGCAAATCAACCATCGCAAATAAAATAAGCTAACGGGAAGCGGTGCCTGCAGAGTTCGGTTTGCATTCATGGATTCAAGATAGGAATTTGCAGACCGGCTGTTATGGGGGAAGTTATACATGATCCCTAGGGTGGTGCTGTGGTCTAAACCACTGGGCCTCTTGGGCTTGCTGATCAGAAGGTTGGCGGTTTGAATCCCCACGACGGGGTGAGCTCCTGTTGCTCTGTCCCAGCTCCTGCCAACCTAGCAGTTCAAAAGCATACCAGTGCAAGTAGATAAATAGGTACTACTCCGGCGGGAAGGTAAACAGCGTTTCCATGCGCTCTGGTTTCCATCACAGTGTCCCATTGTGCCAGAAGCGGTTTAGTCCTGCTGGCCACGCGATCTGGAAAGCTGTCTGTGGACAAATGCCAGCTCCCTGAAAGTGAGATGAGTGCCACAACCCCATAGTCACCTTTGACTGGACTTTACTGTCCAGGAGTCCTTCACCTTTACCTTTTACTATACCTGATCCCAGTTTTAATAGTGTTTATACCTGCAGGGATAGACTGGTGCACAAATATAAGATGGGGGTCACCAGTATTACTAGTAGCACATGTGAAAAGGATCTAGGGGTCTTTGTGGACCACAAGTTGAACATGAGTCCACAGTGTGATGCAGCAGCCAAAAAAAGCTAACACTATTGTAGGCTGCATCAACAGAAATCTAGAGTCCAAATCAAGGGAAGTAATAGTCCCACCCTATTCAGCCTTGGTCAGACCACACCTGGAATACTGTGTCCAGTTCTGGGCACCACAATTTAAGAAGGATTTTGACAAGCTGGAACATGAGCAGAGGAGGGAAACCAAGATGATCAAGGGTCTGGAAACCAAGCCTGATGAGGAATGGTTGAAGGAGCTGGGGATGTTTAGCCTGAGAAAGAGGAGACTGAGAGGAGATAGAGTGGCCATCTTCAAATATCTTAAGGGCTGTCACATTGAAGAAGGAACAAGCTTGTTTTCTCCTGCTGTGGAGGGTAGGACTCGAACCCATGGCTTCAAGTTACGAGAAAGGAGATTCTGACTAAGCATACAGAAAAACCTTCTGCCAGGAAGAGCTGTTCGACAGTGGAACAGACTCCAGAGATGGTGGGCTCTTCTTCCTTGGAGGTTTTTAAGCAAAGGTTGAATGGCCATCTGTCAGGGATTCCTTAGCCGTGATTCCAGAATTGTAGAGACTAGATGACCGTTGGGGGATACCTTCCAACTCTAAAATTCCATGTAAACAGGAAAAACCAGGGGAGAATTTTCACCACAGGCTTCAGAAATCGATCCCAACGCATAGCTTACAGACACCATGCATTCTTTCGGCCAGGAACAAGCCATGTGGTCTAACAACCAGCCACGCCAAAGAGGCTTGTTTCTACAGAAAGAACAAAAGGCGGGAGGAATTAGCAAACAAAGTTGAGTTTACTGGAGTTTTCTTTTCGCCTTTCTCTCCATCTGCGTCTCTCTCATATTTCACCGCTCCCCGGTGGCAAAATGTCAGCTTATTATATTTGAGGAAGGGGTTGGCAGGGAGCAAGCAATCCCCCCGGACAGCTCTTCCGTGTTTAATATTATGATTATTACTGGGACCACCGACATTCCAGATGGAAAGACAGCTTGGCCCAGGCTGCAAGGCTTCAGCGACGCCTTCTGTTCCTTCCCTGCTTTTGCCAGTAAGGATTATATCTGTGGACAAGCTGGATGTACCTCACCAAGAGGAGAATATCTAATTGAATCAGCTCTTTCCAAGTTGGTTTTGATGAATATATATAACTTTTCACCATTTGTTTAGGGTTGGCAAACAACGGGTGGCGCCATCTTGGGTGAGGGCATGCCAAGCCGCTTGTCGCAACTCCTGAGCAGTGGGTGTTGGGAAGCTGAACGTTGAGTTAGAATCACAGAAGCGTAGAACTGGAGAATTGGAAGGGATACCCAAAGGCCATCTAGTCTGACCCCAGCCTTCAGCACTCAGCGAAGATTGGTGTTTTGCAACTTTCTGACTTGTTGCAGGACCTTAGCCAGACCTAGCAGAGTATACGCAGAGTTCACGAAAGCAATCGGTTGCAGGCAGGATGGACGAAGCAGGAACCAGTAATTTGTACTTATAGGTGTTTATTATATACAGTGGACTATTTACCGGAACAGAACAGAACACGTATCTTTAACTAGCTCTCTCTTACACGACTCTCAACTGCTCTAACACATTCCAGTTAGTAGGCCAGAAATCATTATTCCTGTGGGAGAGCTTGACCAATGATGGAGCTGTCTCCATGCCTCTGTATCACCAGGCAGATTTTACTCCTTCACATTGCCTTGGCTGTTGGCCAACTCCTAATTGACTCTGTGTGAAGCCACCACGTTTCCTGGTGGGGCTGCTAACACAAGACTGAGGAACCAGCAATCATCTCCTGGCCAGCAGTAATGCCTAGAATGCTGTCCGTGCACATTTTAGCATCTAAGCTGAATGAAAAGAGCTCATTCAGAAGCTTTTCACAGAATCACAGACCCCTGAGGGTCATCTAGTCCAACCCACTACAATGCTGGAATCGCAACTAAAGAATCCCTGGCGGGTGTTAGGATTCTTGCCCCGTGCTTGCAGTCATGGGATGGTTGTCTATCACATGATGGTGTATGTTTTCATTCCACATAGTGGGAAGTGACGGAGACAGGATGTTTATATTACTGTGTTCCGTGATGTGGGACTATTGTCCTTTGTTCTTTCTCTTTGTTCTCTGATGAGAAAGAGGAAGGAGCTAAGTCAGAATGCTCCGAGTGTATTGTGTGTGGTCTTGACCTTTAAAGCCCTTTAAAGCCCTTCGTATCTATGGGACCACCTCTCCTGGTAGGCCCCACGGAGGACCTTAAGGTCCATGAATAACCATAGTTTAGAGGTCCCGGGCCCTAAGGAAGTCAGACTATCCTCCACCAGGGCCTTTTCAGTGATGGCTCCGACCTGGTGGAATGCTCTGTCCCATGAGACCAGGGCCCTGCAGGATTTAACCTTCTTCCGTCGAGCCTGTAAGACAGAGCTATTCCGCCTGTCCTTTAATCTGAATTCAGCCTGATCTTTTATCTCCCTTCTCTTCTCTTCCCTCCCCCTCCCCTTTTATGAAGATCACCCGCTCTGAGACCCCACAGCTAATTCTCCCCTGGTCTCTTCGCTGGCCCAAGTAGGACCAATTCAGCCAGCTAGCCCTGGGGATTATCTAATTGATTTTTGAATGTTATTGTTATTCATGGTTTTATACTGTATTTTATTCTGCTTTTATAATAAAGTGTTTTAAAGTGTTTTAAATTTGTTGTTAACCACCCGGAGCCTGGTTTTTGAACTGGGAAGGGCGAAGTATAATTTTTTTTAAAAAATTATTATTATTATTATTATTATTATTATTATTATTAAAGTAGTTTAGCCAATATTGCTGTGCTACTGAGTCTGTCACGCGGACTGCTAACACTCTGCTGATCCTAAGCGTGCTGATGTCTCCAAGACATCAGTCGCTGTGATGTTCGGACTGGAGAAAGCTTTTGAAGTTTCCAAACGAACGACTGGGAGGGCGAGAACATGCCAGCCGGGCAAGTGTCTCTATCGGATTCCTACTCATGTGTAGGACGTTCCTGACAATGAGTGGCCATCCAACTTCTGCTTAAAAAGGAGAGTCCACCACCTTCCGAAGGAGAACATTCCACGGTCGAACAGCTCCTACCATCAAAAAGTCCAGTCAGAATCTCCTTTCTTGTCAGTTGAACCCATTGGTTTGGGTCAAATGCACTAGAAAACAAGCTAGCTCCATCTTCCATTGTGACATGTTGGCTTTCTTGGCAGAAAGATTCACTTCTTTACAATGGTGGAGGTGGAGCCCAGCTCCTTCTGCATGCAATGGGGAAGAGCAGCAGCTCAGCGACAGAACATCTCCTTGGCATGTAGGACGTTCCACCTTTAATGCCCATCATCTCGAAGAAAGGCTGGGAACTTCCCCTGCCCCAAATCCTAGAGAACTGCTCCCAATCCGTGTGGACAATGTTGAGCTACCTGGACCAATAGTCCAAGTCAAGGAATGGACTAGTGTTCCTTCCATGGTTCTGCTGAACAGCTTAGTACCAAAACTATGGGTCTCCATGAGCTTTGTAACTGTGATAGCCTGGGACTTGGGCTCAGACTCGGAACCAGAGGAGTCTCAGTCTGCACCGGATCCTTTGCCTCAGGCGGCACCTGAACCAAGTCTGGGGCCTGATTCTGAAGAGTCCCAGTCTGCACAGGTTCCCCTACAACAAACACCATCTGGGCTGAGTCAGGGGCCTGAGCCTGCCCTGCTCCAGATGCGGGGATTACCGTGTTGCCTCCAGCTGGGTCATCACTTACAGCTGCTCCACTACCGGTTGGGTCGGGGAGGATGAGGCGGCCCCTGGGTCTAGTAACCCCCCTGACGTCTCCCGAGCTGCAGAGACTGAGGTCTGGGAGAAGGAGAGACCTGAGTACTCACAGGAGGAGTGCTCGCCTTCGGGCAAGACAAGGAGGTGAGTCAACGGGGGATCAGGACCGGCCGCTACTACCCCGACACAGATAAAAGGCTGTCGGACCCTGCCCCAGGTTACGGGAGCAACATTGCTGTATGCTAGAACCTGCCTGAGATCCTGTACCTGTCCTTGCCTGGTTTCCTGCCTCGCGTCCTGCCTTGACCATGTCGGACTGACTCCTAGCAGAGCCTACAGATTCTGGACCAGACCTGGACCGCGGCTCCCGGGTTACCCCCGGGCCCAGCATAGTAACCTACAATTTGAAAGTGAGAAAAACAGCACAGGAGCCTTTGCCAGCCTCATATCTTCCAGGTGTTTTGGACTACAAACTGAATGATCTCTGCTGTCGCACTGCTGAGAAGGCCAACTTCCCAAGCAACGCCTCCATCGCTTTCTTGGGTAGCTGGCATATGGAGGACAGATTTAACCCTTAAATGACAAGCTGAAGGATCTCTGCTGTCACACTTCCCTGCTGGAAACGCCAACTTGTCTTTGTAGGACAAACTTTCCCAGCACAAACTGCCCTGCCCTTCTTGCCAGGCCCAGGGAGAAAATCGATTCCTCCAGCAGCATGGAGCGCAGTTTTGATTCTGCCGTTCAGCAGACAGCTTTCATTCTTCACATATCTGGACTGAGAAACTCACCGTTTCCTCCCCTCCCCCTCCCCCCGCTTCATTTTAAAGACAGGTAAAGTAGATGGGGAACTATATCCCGTTGCCATGGAGATGCCAGGATGGGAAGTCACGGCGCTGATGGAGCCTTGATGGTTTTCTTGGTGCTCATTATAACGTTATGTAAAAGAAGTTTTTTTAAAAAAAAAATCTAAAGAGCAAAGTGATTAACATTTTTCCAGGGAAAACAGTCATCCTAATATGAACAAGGTAACAATTAGCAAGTGTGTGCTTAAAAGTGAATCATCTGAAATAATGATATAATTGGGTTCTCCTTCAATTCGTGAGTAACGGGGGCTTTATCAAAATGGAAAGATGTGATGGGACATCAAACCGGGGAACTTTGCGGTCATATAATGGCTGTGGCAGCTTTCAGCAACCTGAAGCCCCCCAGAGGTCTCACATGACACCCGGTTCCGCATTTCTAATACCCGGTCATTTAGTGTGGCAGCACCTAAACTGTGGAACTCCCTGCCTCTTGTTCTCAAACAGGGGCCTTCACTGTGTTCTTTTCAGCACTGGCTAAAAACATTCTGGTTTAGACAAGCCTACCCAGATTATTAGGAAACTGAGGTCATTTTGATCTGTTTTAGAATTCTAGCTGCTTCATGTTTTTAAAGAGGGTTGTAATTTCCCCCCCAATTTTATTGCTTCACCTTTGTGCTGGTCCCGTGGGCTAACCGAGAGGCAAGGTCCGACTCCAGTCCGAGGTCAAAGGTGCAGTATGGAGGCTGTCCGTAAAAGTTGAAGCTGGATGCAGGGCAGGTAGTCGGGTGAGGTCAGGAGCTCCAGCAGGATAGGGTTCAGGCAGGAACTGACAACCAACGAAGTTGGTCCTGCAACCTGGGACTGGGGCTGGCTGGCTTTTATCTGCCCCAAGGCACAGGGCGGCCCCGATCCTCAGGTGACTCGCCTCTCCTGGCCTGGAGGCGAGCACTCCTCCTGAGGGAACTTAGTTCCCTCCGCCTCTCTGCCCTGAGCCTCTGCAGCTCAGGAGAGGCTGGAGGGTTACTGGACCCAGAGGCAACCTCCTCTTCCCCTGATGGGGCTGAGAGTGGAGCACCTGCAGGCAGTGGGTCCTCCATCACCTCAGGGGCCAGAGCAGACTCAGCTGATGCCTGCACCTGAGGATCCAGCACAGGTGAGGACCCTTCAGGCTCAGGCCCCAGCCCTGGCTCAGCTGGTTCTGGAGGCGGGGACTCCTGTGCAGGCTGGGATTCCTCAGGTTCAGCCTCCGAGTCCGAATCCCAGGCCATCACAACCTTGTATTGTAAACCACCTTGAGGTTTCTTACAATCAAGTTGTGTATAAATTTTGTGGAAATAAATAAATAAATGGGGAGGCTCAGGCCAAATTCCTAATCATAGAGCTGTAGAGTTGGAAGGGACCCCAGGGGGTCATCTAGTCTGACCCCCTGCAATGCAGGAATCTTTTGCCCAACGTGGGGCTCGAACCCACAGCCCTGTGATCAAGAGTCTCATGCTTTACCAGCTGAGCAATCCCAATTGGCCAGACTTTATTCAGTAAGGTATTACAGAACCAGGTTCAAAGAGTATGCAAGAGCATTTCCTTTAGGACACACATGTGATACTCAAACTGCACATCATCTCAGCTGCTAACCCTCGACTCAACCTCCTTTTGCCCCCCCCCCCCAGCACAACCCCATCTCTCACCCAACCACAGTCCTTGGAAACATTTTCTCAACCTGTTTTTCACTGTACAGTGGTACCTTGGTTCTCAAACTTAATCCGTTCCAGAAGTCCGTTCCAAAACACAAAGCGTTCCAAAACCAAGACACGCTTTCCCATAGAAAGTAATGCAAAATGGGTTCATCCATTCCAGGCTTTAAAAAACAGCCCCAAAAACAGCAATTTGACATGAACTTGACTATCTAACGAGACCATTGATCCATAAAACGAAAGCAGTAAACAATGTATTGCAGTCACACAATCAATCAGTCGGTGGCTGAACTGGGTTCCACACAGTCACAAAAACAAAACAAAAAAGAGCTGCCAAAATAAATAGCAAAAACAGACAGACCTCAGCGTTAACACTCAAAACGGAGCACGTTTGGCTTCCAAAAGAAGTTCGCAAACCGGAACACTTACTTCCAGGTTTGCAGTGTTTGGGTTCCAAGTTGTTTGAGTACCAAGGTGTTTGAGAACCAAGGGACCACTGTAAGTGTTAGACAGGGGTCAGCAACCTTTTTCAGCAGGGGGCCAATCCACTGTCCCTCAGACCTTGTGGGGGGCCGGACTATTTTTTGGAAAAAATATATATGAAGGAATTCCTATGCCCCACAAATAACCCAGAGGTGCATTTTAAATAAAAGCACACATTCTACTCATGTAAAAACACACTGATTCCTGGACCATCCGCAAGCTGGATTTAAAAGGCGATTGGGCCGCATCCAGCCCCCGGGCCTTAGTTTGCCTACCCATGTGTTAGAACCTTCCTTATACATTACCTGGAGTTGTTTTTCACTTTAACATGCAGCCGCCTTAACTTAACTCTTTCTTAACAGGTTCTTGCCAGTTTTGTGGTCAGGCTTCTCTCTTGCATAGGTGACACTTGCCTCATCAAACAGAAATTCAGTTTGAAACACACATCATCAATCATCATCATCGTACATGACCACGGATGAAGCAAACGCAAGCCAAGAGCCGCTAGAGAGTGACGTTAAAGACATGATCCTTTCTATTTGAACTTGCTTCACGCCTCGGATTGACTCATATCTCAGCAGCCAAATGGCCATATGGCTTATCCGCTAGGGAAGAAGATGAACGGGCTGCTGCTTTCAGTACGTGACTTTCTGGGGGTTGGATCCTGATCAGAGCCTATTTGACGGAGGAGTTAGCAAGCAAGATGCACCACTGACAGCTCCCGGCTAAAAATGAAATGTCCCGGTGATCTCCCAGCCTCCCAGTCGTCTCCCTCCTGCCCACCTGGCCAGAGACGGGAGCATCCCACACCTGCCTGCCTTCAGAAGGACCAACTTTCTGATGCCGCGAGCCAAAACTGTTCCAGGATGGCTGTCACCAGGCACCCACGGCTGGCTTCTGACAAGCCAGGGCTTTTGCACAAAACATTCATCAGAGCTAATGAGGCGACACAGTCAAGCGCTTGGACGGCTGGCTGGGAGCTCTCCGGTGGTTGCTTTGCTTTCCTCCTCCCCTCCCCCCCCCCGCGTGCCCGTTCCCCTCCCCCACCCAATGCATTCTTGAAACAAAGCAAAAAAAAGCTTCAGTTGTTGAAGGAATGCTATGCTGTGCCTCAGGGCTGGCCGAAGACATTTTGGCAGCTCGAAAAATAAAATTATCTGTCTGTTCGGAGGCAGTGGAAGAGTGCAGACTTGGGGCTGAGGTCAAACCATCGGAGAGTTGCAGCACCTGCTGTGGCTGCAGAGACAGATATGGGAGAGACATGTTTTGTTGCAGCCGGGGCAGATGAAGGCGTCCTGTTATGCTGCTGCAGATGCACAAGGGCGTTCCTTCTCTCTGTGCTCCTCCCAGCGGCCATTCCTCCTCCTCTGGGTCCCTGCTGTGGATTCACAACCTGACTGTCTCCTGTCATCTGCAAGGGATTCCCACATGACAAGGGGTGTGTGGCCAGCCTTCATGTCCCGTTTGCAGTGCAGAGTTGGTCTGCCAATGGGCCTGGTGCCAGAAGCCATTTCCCCATGGCGAACATCTTTGAGGGCCCTGCCATCTTCCATGGGCATGGCCAAGCCAGTGTAGATGTCACTGAGACAGGAGTGTGAACATGCCAGGAATGTGAGCATGGGAGAGCACAGCTTGGTTTGGGATTCTGTCCTGCCATGTGATGCCCAAAATCTTCCTGACGCAGCGCATGTGGAAGGAGGTGAGGCCTCACACCTGACACTTGTAAGTTGCCCATGACTCACTTCCATAAAGGTAAAAAGGTAAAGGACCCCTGGACGGTTAAGTCCAGTTAAATGTGACTATGGGGTTGAGGCGTTCATGTCACTTTCAGGCCGAGGGAGCCAGCATTTGTCCACAGGCAGCTTTCTGGGTCATGTGGCCAGCAGGACTAAACCGCTTCAGGCACAACGGAACACCATGATGGAAACCAGAGCTCATGGAAACGCCGTTTACCTTCCCGCCACAGTGGTACCTATTTATCTACTCGCGCTGCTGTGCTTTCAAACTGCTAGGGTGGCAGGAGCTGGGACAGAGCAACAGGAGCTCACTCCGCTGTGGGGATTTGAACCATCAGCAAGCCCAAGAGGCTCAGTGGTTTAGACCACAGCGCCACCTGTGCTATAAAGCAGCAAGCTCAAGACACAAGCCTGGTAGAGCTTCATCATGGTACTGGACATTAGCATCGCATTCTCCCAAACCTTTTTGGAGAGATGGCTGTAGCTCTCTTGCCACTACACTTGTCCAGCTCAGTGTCGATGGAAAGTCTGTTGGTTATGGTGGAGGGCAGGTAGACAAAATCACCCCCCACCTCAAGGTTGTGGTTCGCAATGCTGATGACACATGGGTGACCATCCAACCTCTGTTTAACGTCCTCCAATGAAGGAGACTCCATCGCCTTCCGAGGGAGTCGAACATCTGAAGGGAAATTTTTAATGTCTGATGTTTTATCGTGTTTTTTATATTCTGTTGGGAGCCGCCCAGAGTGGCTGGAGCAACCCAGTCAGGTGGGAGGCATACAAATAATAAAACTATTGTTATTGTTGTTGTTACTGCTGTCGGAAAGTTCTCCCTGATGTTTAGTCAGAATCTCCTTTCTTGCAACGTGAACCATTATCATTATTATTATTATTGAATTTATATACCGCCCAATACCAAGAGGTCTCAGGGCGGTTCACAGAATAAAATCAAAATAAAAAAGATATATAATCATTGTGATTATAATCAGCATGCAATAATTTGGAGCACTTAATTTGCCAAATGCTCTCATTCTTTGCTGACTATGAAATTAAAACCATGTAAAGTGGTACCTTGGGTTAAGTACTTAATTCGTTCCGGAGGTCCGTACTTAACCTGAAACTGTTATTAACCTGAAGCACCACTTTAGCTAATGGGGCCTCCTGCTGCCGCCGTGCCGCCGGAGCATGATTTCTGTTCTTATCCTGAAGCAAAGTCCTTAACCTGAAGCACTATTTCTGGATTAGTGGAGTCTGTAACCTGAAGCGTATGTAACCTGAAGCATATGTAACCCGAGGTACCACTGTATTGAAACACTCATAGTGTAACACAGAGCTGTGAAAACAGTTGGATTTGAACCACTGATTCAAGTCCTACACTCCAGAGCAGGAGAAAACAAGTTTGTTCCCTCTTCAGTGTGACAGCCCTTGTGATATTTGATGTAGTCCCCTCCAGGCTAAACATATCCAGTTCCTTCAAACGTTTCTCCTAAGGCTTGGTCAGATGAGCCCACTCTGACCCTGTCCAGCTGGCTTTCCTTACGTTTTTGCTGGAAACCAGGGAGACGAAATATTCCAGGGGACAGGCCCTCTGCCACGCCTGTTAATAATCTGAGCAAGTGGAAGTTGGTGGGCTTCTTCCCGGCATATTTTCTCTCCCCCGTGATCAGAGCAGCTGATAGGAGCGGATCCCGCTGCAAATCCCATTACCTTTTGCGCAGGCCTTTGGGCTCGGCATCCTTCTCCGCCCGCGTAATCATTTGCCGGGTGCTTTCCATCTGAAACATGTCTCTGGGATTCAGTTACTTTACAAAGTCAATATTTTAGGTTACGGCTTATGCATCGACAACAACGTCTCCGGGGACATGTGTTCGGCGCACGCCAGAGCTTGGAGTCGCAGTCCCCGGGCCGCTGCATCTAAGAGAGTCGATAAGCCGTACAAGTTTTGCACTTCCTGCCCGCAGAAATTATTGCGCGCTTTGGTAAATTTAAATTGGCTGGAAGAGGCAGGGAAAATATGTACCCAGCTCCATTATTTTCAAAAGTAGATGGCGTTGCTGCTTGTTTTTTAAAAAACGAATTCTTTACATTCCCCGGCGTCGAGTGGAATTTTCTCACAAGCCCAGCAAGTTCCTTCTCAACCGCGCTGCACAGCTGGTCGGTTGCAGCCTCCAGAAACTTACTTATGAGTCGGTCACGACTAGACCTAATGGTCAGGGGTCCCTTTACCTTTACCTTTAAGGGAAGTGGAGGGACGCGGGTGGCGCTGTGGGTTAAACCACAGAGCCTATGACTTGCTGATCAGAAGGTCGGCGGTTCGAATCCCCGTGACGGGGTGAGCTCCTGTTGCTCGGTCCCTGCTCCTGCCAACCTAGCAGTTCGAAAGCACATCAAAGTGCAAGTAGATAAATAGGTACCACTCCGGCGGGAAGGTAAACGGCGTTCCCGTGCGCTGCTCTGGTTCGCCAGAAGCGGCTTAGTCATGCTGGCCACATGACCTGGAAGCTGTACGCCGGCTCCCTCGGCCAGTAAAGCGAGATGAGCGCCACAACCCCAGAGTCGGTCACAACTGGACTTAATGGTCAGGGGTCCCTTTACCTTTAAGGGAAGGAGATTGCAGGGGGTTGCACTAGATAACCCACAGGGTCCCTTCCAACTCGACTATTCCGCGATTCCAAACTTTGCACAACCTGAATTGTCAACTAAAGTGAGGGTTTCTTGCATGACCTCAGCTGCTTTCCAAGTTAAAATCAGAATCTGGGGCTAGTTCACATGATTCTTTAGTATGGCTTGGTAGTGGTGATGATGATGATATGGCTTATTCAGATATCGGTTTATTCACTAAGCAATGAGCACAGAAGGCATCTGACTGTTTCATCGTGCTATTTTCAATATTTGGGTGAGTGGAAACACAATTATGGAATTGTTTGGAACTCTGGATTTAGTCATCCTTCGATGTTCATATGATATATGTGAGTTATTCAGCAGCCCATGCTCTCTTAGACTCTAGTTCTATGCATGTCTACAGCAAACTAAGCCCCACTGAGTTCAACAGACCTTACTTCTAGGAAAGTGGTTAATGACTACAGTATTACTTAGCATGTAAAATTAGCTGTGCTGTTTGTTTTTGCTTTGATAAAGCAAACTCAATTCAGGCAACGGTTTAATTGAGTTATCTATAATATTGTAAAGACAAAGGGCTGCCTCCAACTAAGGTCTACTCAGAGGAGACTCATTTAAGTTAATGGACCTACACTAGTCACGTCCATTAATTTCAATGGGTCTACTCAGAGTATGGCTAACAGCAGCTGCAATCCCAAAGTAAAGGAAGTACGCTTTTGCCGAACTTTAGTTTTTATGTATTTTCAAATGCACAGAATTTGTCACCCTCGTTTCAGCACAGAAGTGGGTTTATTTGGGGAGACGTAAAATGCAGGCACGTCATGATAGAACTTTTATTAAAAGATTCTGAGATGATTCAGCCCCAGCATCTGTCGGATTTCAGCATTCCATCCTTGAGACCAAATTGCCACAGCCGGACATTTTCCAGAATTGCCTGTCTATCAATTACCGGCTGACCACTTGCCCATCCTGAACAACTTGCCATAACTAAAAACTGATATAATTATAAGATTTAGTAGCGGCAATTAAAAAGAGGACCGTATCTTCCTCCAAAAGAATAAAAATATATCTCTTTGGATGCCCGCGCACACTGAGATAACTATAACATTTGATAACATTGTTAGATTTGCAATCATTTTCGAGCAAATGAGCCGTATAATAGAGTACTTTTATGTGTTATCCTTAAATGGTAAGCCTTCCAATTATGCCAGAAGAGAAATTACTATATGCTGCTAATTACAGATTTTTTTTCTCTCGGGTTCATACGCAAGTAGGAATGTGAGCTCATAGAAAAAGGATGATAAGAAGGGGGGGAAAGGTTGTGTGTAAGCAGCCAGTTCCTTGCAAAGGAATTTTACTCCACAAGAGGAGTAAAAGTTATTATATGACATTGGGGAGGGGGGAAGAATACAAATTTGTGGAGGAAAAGGCCATCAGTTGTTACTGTCAGGAGCTCGTCTTACACTCGAGTAGGACCCTGGCAGAGACACATGCCCAACTGGCATGTTCTCTCCCTCCTGGTCAATCGTTCGGGAGCTTCAAAAGCTTTCTTCTGCCCGAACATCACAGCGACTGATGCCAACAGACATCGGCAGACTTAGGGATCCGCAGAGTGTTCGCAGTTTGCGTGACAGACCTCAGCAACTCAGCATTTTGGCTAATCTACTTTATTTACATATAAACCCACACGGAGCACTGCAACATGGCTTCCTCTCTCTCTAGCATCAGACAGCAAAGAGAAAAAGAACAAAGGACAATAGTCCCACTTCACGGAACACAGGAACACAAACATCCTGTCTCCGTCACTTCCCACACGGTGGAATGAAAACATACACCGTCATGTGATAGACAACAATCCCATGACTGCAATCACGGAGCAGGAATTCTAACAGTTACTAGCCATGATGGCTACTAGGCAGAGTGGTGCAGTGTTTATCTCGTCACACTAGGACCTGGGAGGTCAGGGTTCGAATCCCTGTTACAGACATAAAACTCACTAAGTGACACTGAGCCAGTCTCTGCTTCTTAACCTAACCAACCTCACCCTAGGGGTGCCATATTCTAAAGACCAAAAGAGAGGACACATTTGCCGGCGCCTGGGGTGGGAGGTAGAGGATGGGGAGGGCATGTGCCCGGCTGGCAGCGGCCGCAACGTGGGGGAAAAGGCACACAGGCCTGGCAGCGTCACTGGCGGCAGGCAGGTGGCGGAGGCAGGACTTACCTGATCTTCCAATCTCCTCCACACGCTCTCCTCTCCACACGGCTCTGAAGCTTCCACTTCTGGGGGCACAGCTCAGTTGTCACCCTCCTGAGTATGCGCTGCGTCCGTCCCCCCACAAAAAAACCCTCAACACCTCCCCCCCCCCAAAAAACCCCCAGACATTTCTGGTAAAATGTAAAAATCCACCCGGACAGCCATGTCGGCCGCAAAAAAAAGAGGACATGTCCTGGAAAACCCTGACATATGGCAACCCTAACCTCACCCCACCTGCTGTGGGGATAAAATGGAGAGGAGGAGACCTTTGTACGCCACCTTGGGGAAAAGTTAGACTGTCTCTCCAAGATTTACCATTTGAATACAGTTATCTGGGAAAAACTGATTTACTAAGTATGTTCACTGATAGCGGGAAGTCAAGATACGAATGAAGGAGCCAAGCCAAAGCTGTTTTTAAAAGGCTTGAACTCCCTGTGTAGAAGTTGATATGAAAATATTTATTTTTTGAAGTTTGTTATCTATTTTTCTATTTTTATTCTTTGTTATGTTTCTTCTCTCTTTTTTATACTCTTTACTTTTTTCTACTCTTCACTTTTATTTCTAGTTTCATTTATGTACATTTGATGTATTTATGTGTTTGCAACTAATAAAAATCTAAAAGAAAGAAAAAGAAAAGTCGGGCATAAGTGCAATAAACAAACGTTTGAAAAATAAAATTGGTTGGCTTATAGTTCATCCACATTTAACAAGGGTAAAAATAGCTTGGTTTTGTTTTATGTATTTTGCGTTATCTTTTTGTATTTTTATGTCGCGAACCACCCTGGGATCTTTGGATTGAGAGCAGTATGCAAGTTTAATTAATAATAAAAATAGTGATGATAATAATAGGAAGTCATGGGCGGTATTTTCCCGGACAGCTGATTTGTTTCAGCTCTGCCCTCTGCTGGCTGGAGGCATGCAAGGTTCTTCGCCCCAACATGTACTCCCTGAAATATCTTGGGCAGTATCTTCCAATGTCTTGGCATGTGGGGATTACATTTGTCATGTACTGAGTTGAATAGCATCCAAAATGCAGCAGTCTGATTGGTCCTAGAACAATAGGATTCAGAATGCAGCAGTCTGATTGGTCCTAAAACAATAGGATTCAGAATGCAGCAGTCTGATTGGTCCTAGAACAATAGGATCCAGAATGCAGCAGTCTGATTGGTCCACAGGAGCCACCCAATCCAGCTCCAGGTGGAAGTGAATCCGCAACCTGATTGGCCTGCAGGAGAATTCTGGAATTAGCCAATCACGTGGGGCCCATTGTGTAAATAATGTATATAAAGCAGATATTGTGGGGGAACTTCCATTCCCTCCTCACCACTACGAGCTGAATAAAGAGCATGAAATCCACTCTCGACTCTATTTCAACGTTTCTGGCTATTGCAGGTACTGTCATACCTTGGTTTTCGAATAGCTTACTTCTTGAAGATTTTGGCTCTTGAACCCCCGCAAACTTGGAAGTGTCTGTTCTGGTTTGTGAACTATTTTTGGAAGCCGAAACGTCCAACGGGGCTGCTGTGACTTCCGATTGGCTGCAGGAGCTTCCATTTACACATAACAAAATATGTATTTTATCAATTTTGAGAACCAAGGTACCACTGAAATGAGCAAACCAGTGATATTTTAGGGAGCAGGCTAGCAAGCGGGGCCCATGACTTACATCATGGGAGCCTACACAACACAAAACACAGTTGCTGTGTGTAGGTTTTATTTTATTTGTTTTTTATCTTATATTTTGGAAATGTACAGCCAGTTGTTTTTTTCCCTTTAAATTTTTAGGGGGGCTCCTAAGAGAGTGGGATGCAGGTGGCGCTGGGATGCGGGTGGCGCTGTGGGTTAAACCACAAAGCCTAGGACTTGCCGATCAGAAGGTCAGCGGTTCGAATCCCCGCGATGGGGTGAGCTCCTGTTGTTCAGTCCCTGCTCCTGCCAACCTAGCAGTTCGAAAGCAGGTCAAAGTGCAAGTAGATAAATAGGTACCGCTCCGGCAGGAAGGTAAACAGCGTTTCTGTGCGCTGCTCTGGTTTGCCAGAAGCGGCTTAGTCATGCTGGCCATATGACCCAGAAGCTGTACGCCGGCTCCCTCAGCCAGTAAAGCGAGATGAGCGCCGCAACCCCAGAATCATCCACAACTGGACCTAATGGTCAGGGGTCCCTTTACCTTTAAGAGAGTGGGGCCCTAAGCTGTAGCTTGTTTAGCTTATACATAAATCTGGCACTGGGTCCCCCCACGAAATCAGCGTAAGATGATATCCGCCTGTTCTGGTTCCTGGCACTCCCAAGTGGGCTGAGCGCTGTTGTGTCTGTGTTTCTGTCCTGCTTATGGGTATCCCAGTGGGGCAACCGATCGGCCACAAAACGAACAGGATGCAGGTGTAATAAACAAAAATCTGCCCTTATTCCCTTATGGGGGACACAAGAACCCTGATAGAGTCCTTTGTAGGTTCTCCATCGGTCGGAGAAAATAACAGAGGCCAACCAGGGAATATTGATAAGCAAAGCAGCTCGTGAGCTTGATCTTTTTTAAAGCTGTTGCAACAGGGTGCTCCCCTCACACGCAGGAGGACCCAGAACCAAGGTGTGTCCGTCCTTATATAGACATTTTAAATTGCCCGCCCTGGAGTCCAAGACCACCTCTCCAAAACATCATACATACATCACAGAAGGGGTGTAGCTCAAGACCACCACCCCAGACACATCATACCTACATCACAGAAAGGGCCGTCTACAACAGAAATCTGAGTGCATTGTTTATCTCCTGCCTGGCAGGTTACCTGTTAATGGTTACTTGATTGGATACCCTGGGGAGCCTGGCCAGTCTTTTGTAATGACAAATACTTAGTTCCTGAGCCAGGTCACAGCCTCACACCCTATTCATACACAGACATACCCTTAAGACAGGATTTGTGAATGGAAAGACAATGGGGAGGCTTTTCCATTTTCCTTCGACCTTGCAGAGAAATATTTGAGGTCAATTTGGGAGGGACAAAATGGTTTCAGGACATTTTCTGTGGGGTTTCAAACATGTGGTTTATATATGCAGTTATGAGCATTTAATATACAGTGGTACCTCAGGTTACATACGCTTCAGGTTACATATGCTTCAGGTTACAGACTCCGCTAACCCAGAAATAGTGCTTCAGGTTAAGAACATTGCTTCAGGATGAGAACAGAAATTGTGCTCCGGCGGCACGGCGGCAGCGGGAGGCCCCATTAGCTAAAGTGGTGCTTCAGGTTAAGAACAGTTTCAGGTTAAGTATGGACCTCCAGAACGAATTAAGTACTTAACCCGAGGTACCACTCTATATCCTTATTTTTTTTATTTCATAGGGCTCCTCTCAGGCTCTTCGCTTCTTACATTCATGGAGAACAAAGCTGCCAAGGGCTCCCAGCTACGATGGACGTGCTTTCCCTCCCCTGTCAGAGACAGTGTGCTTCTGAATATGAGTTGCCAAGAAATACACATTGGGTGGCATCCTTTAAACCTGGGAGCCTGGCCTCCGCGGTCTTCCAGAGGCTCTCAGAGGCGAGGATTTGGCAGGCAAGCGCAGCCCCTAGCCGTGCAAAACGGGAGCACTCGCGTTCCTGGCCTCTGGAGCGCATTTTGTCACCGCTGTGGCAGGAGCTCATTTTGCTCTGCCTCCAACTGTCGCCGTCCAAGGAATGACACTGATGGCTTCATACCCACCCAGAGAGCGGCGGGGGAGGTGATGCTTCTCGGCTCTTTCATCTCCTCTGCTGTTGGACGGAGCCCATGCGCCGTGTACACTGGACTGAGAGCGGAAAGGCTCAGGAATTGGGGGGGGAGGGGTGGCAACAGGGTCACCTGGGCAGGTTGTGGGAGTAATAATAATAATAATAATAATAATAATAATAACAACAACAACAATAACAATAATTTATTATTTACACCCCGCCACTCTGGGCGGCTGCCAATCAAATGTTAAAAACAATACAGCATTAAATATTAAAAACTTCCCTGAACAGGGCTGCCTTCAGATGTCTTTTAAAGATAGGATAGCTGGTTGTTTCCTTCACATCTGAAGGGAGGGTGTTCCACAGGTCAGGCGCCACCACCGAGAAGGCCCTCTGCCTGGTTCCCTGTAACTTCACTTCTCGCAATGAGGGAACCACCAGAAGGCCCTCGGAGCTGGACCTCAGTGTCTGGGCTGAACGATGGGGGTGGAGATGCTCCTTTAGGTATACTGGGCCAAGGCTGTTTAGGGCTTTGAAGGTCAGCACCAACACTTTGAATTGTGCTCCGAAACTGAGCCGGTTTATGTGGCACCGGAGGCAAGAGGGAGAAGAAGAAGACACCCTCCTCATTCTGCCACAGTACTTTCCGAACACGATTACTGAAACGGCATGTGCCAATCCCTCATTTGGCTGCCTGGTGGGCATGCAAACGCTGGCACTTCGTGGGTCTGCGTGGTGAGGGGAGCAATCTGCACCAGCTCTGTGGAAGAGCTCACAAACAGGGAAGCACCATCAGAGCCAGTGTGGCCTAGTGGTTAGAGTGCTGGACTAGGTCCCAGGAGAGCAGGGTTCAAATCCCTGCTCAGCCACGAAGCTCACTGGGTGACCTGGGGCCAGCCCCAGACCCTCCAAGTCTCCCTATTTTCCAGGGACTGCCTCGGATTTACAGAAGCTGCCCCGGTTTCTGATTTGATCCCAGAATGTCCCGCTTTTCCTTAGGACGTCCCTATTTTCATTGGAGAATTGCTGGAGGGTATGGAGTTATCTGACCTCCAAGCCATCTGAAGGCAGCCCTGTACAGTGGTACCTCGGGTTACATACACTTCAGGTTACAGACTCCGCTAACCCAGAAATATTACCTCGGGTTAAGAACTTTGCTTCAGGAAGAGAACAGAAATCGTGCTCTAGCGGCGCGGCGGCAGCAGGAGGCCCCATTAGCTAAAGTGGTGCTTCAGGTTAAGAACAGTTTCAGGTTAAGAACGGACTTCTGCAACGAATTAAGTACTTAGCCCGAGGTACCACTGTATTGGGAAGTTTTTTAATGTTTAATGTTTTATTATGTTTTTATATATGTTGGAAGCTGGGGATAATGTATGTTAAAGCGGTTACAGTACCTCTGGTTGCGAACGGGATCCGTTCCGGAGGCCCGTTCACAACATGAAAAGAGCACAACCCGCAACGGCGCGTCTGCACACACGCAGGTTGCGATTCGCCACTTCTGCGCATGTGCATGATGTCATTTTGCACTTCTGCACATGCAAAAGCGGCAAAACCCGGAAGTAACCCTTTCTGGTACTTCCGGGTCGCCATGGGACGTAACCTGAAAGAACGTAACATGAAGTGGACGTAACATGAGGTATTACTGTATTGTTATTGTTATTGTTATTGTTATTGTTATTGTTATTGATATTGTTATTGTTATTGTTATTGAATGTCCCTATTTTTATCAGAGAAATGTTGGAGGGTATACAGTCCATGTATCTCAGCCTACCTTGCATGGGTGTTGCAGAGGATTAAATCTATATCCATCTTTTTCCCTATAAGCAGCTCAAGGTGGCGTACAGAGTTCTCCCCCATCTCATTTAACCGTCACAACAACCCTGTGAGGTAGGCTAGGCTGAGAGGCCCAACGTCCGTCCGTCCGTCCGTCTGTCCCCAGTGAGTGTGGAATTGAACCTTGGTCTCCCAGTCTGCTGCTCCAACGACTTCGCCCCACTGGGCTCTCCTGCAACTTGATGTTTCGATGGGCCTTCTCCCCCAAAGGCCTGCGCTCTACCCACTGAGCAGCAGCCCCTCTCCCTTTTCAGCAGGGAGGTCATTACCCAGGTAGAGAAGGGCATTTGGTCACTGCCGTTAACCTTTTGCGCAATTAAGCATCCCAGGAGATCCTGCAAGGACACCAATTTTACACCCAACACTGAAACCAAACAGCCACCTGGGGGTCTTCCTCCGTGAAAAACCCAGAAATGTTATTCTTTCCTCGCTGTCTTTTTCCTGCACAGATCCTATTATGCTTGGTTTGCCGAGACTGTAGTTCCTGCAATGCACATATATTTCCTTGCCAGCTGGAGTGTGCAAGCCCCGCACGGGGATTTCTGCAAGGGAGGCCCAATCGCTCCCACTGGCTTGATTTGTCTCCCGTACAACGCTGGCTTACAGGACCTGCCAGCTCATGAAAAACAGGACTTGGCCTTTTTCCCTGCCTTAAACAGGGAGGAAAAGCTGCCGCCTTCTTCAACCACCACCCCATTGTTGTTGTTGTTGTTTAGTCGTGTCCAGCTCTTCGTGACCCCCTGGACCAGAGCACGCCAGGCACTTCTGTCTTCCACTGCCTCCCGGAGTTTGGTCAAACTCATGCTGGTAGCTTCGAGAACTGTCCCACCATCTTGTCCTCTGTCATCCCCTTCTCCTTGTGCCCTCCATCTTTCCCAACATCAGGGTCTTTTCCAGGGAGTCTTCTCTTCTCATGAGGTGGCCCACTCTTCCACTGCAAAAGGCTGCCAGAATAGCTTCCAAATAACAATGACAAAAAGACAGTCCCTCCCCTCAGGCCTTTAGTCTGAAAAGACACGACACGAAAGGAAGATGGATCGGGATGGAAGAGGAGGTACACAAACTCACGTTCCAGTCCATACTTACAGGTGATGCCTGACATTTGTTTGAGGATTTGTCGTTTCAGCTCTAAATTGATCTTAAATTGAGTGTGTGATGTATTGTTGCTCGTGCTGTGCTTTTAGGACGGGACAGGCGATCGATGGGAAATATGATAAAAGACCTTCGCGACCTCAGTTTAAAGCACCCCCTACCCTCCGCTTTGAAGCGATTCTCCGTTTGAGCAGAATAATAATGCCAGCAGAGCTATAAATCGTGGAATCGACAAAGCCTTTGGAGGGACGGAGCTCCAGAACAGCTACAATTAATTAGCCAGATATAAAAGTTATGGGATTATACAATTAAGTAGACACACAATTAATTAGCCAGATATAAAACTATTAACACAACAGATATCTGCTCGTGTTCTTAAGGCAGGACTGTGTCCCTCCCAAGTAAAGGGAGGCCATTCGTCTCTGACCAAGGCTGCTGTCGTCAACTGGTATCCACAGCCATAAGAAGAGTTCCTTGCCTGGATCAGGCCAGTGGCCCGTCTAGTCCAGCATCCTATTTTTTTTCTTTTTTCTTTGCAAAGTAATAACAACAACAACAACAAATTTATTAAATTTGTGAGGTCCATGCCTTTACACAAAATACCATAAAACATTATTAAAAGATAAACCAAAAAGATTATAAAAGTAAGCTAAAATTCATGCCATGTTGTCCCAGCAAGGAAACTACCCAAAAAACCCCACCATTCAAGGAAGAAGGTTCAGCAACAGGTTAGGAGAGCAATGGGAGGGACCTCACCATTTCATCCAGGAACCATACCCTAGTTTTCATAGCCTTCACCACAAAGACCGCTACCACGTGAGAAATCCGTGGATCAGCGTCTACCAGTAAAAACTTTACTTGGTCCTCAGAGTTGACTATTGATTTAGGTATAGTTTGTAACATCGCATCCCTGAAGGCCGAATAGATGGGACAATACAACATGTAATGTATGAGATCCTCTTTGGTTCTCATATAACAAGGACATATCCGCTGCTCTACTGGGATTTTTGCATATCTGCCTGACAGATAGGCCGTAGGAATGGTTTGAAAACGGGCCATAGTAAAGGCTCTCCGAAGAGTGGGATTGGTGATATTCGCCAAGTAGTTGGCGCAGATTTTGACTGCTTTCAGTCGGGGAAGCCAGTGGGAGGACCCTGGGATCTGTATTTTTGTGGTATCTAACAGAGCGTCTCTCTCCAGGATCCATTTCCGGACTTTGTCCGGGCTCCACCGTTTGAGGATATTAAACTCCGGTAGGGTGTATCTAACCAGGATCTCAGATAAGTTTTGGCGCCAAGTGGTATTCTTTTGAAAAGATACGAAGGCTTGTTTGGCCAATAAGGTGTTTGAAGAGTTTGCAAGGTTGATGTAAAATCGTAGGAATCTTAAGTGGGCCCTGGCAGACACAGAGGGTAAACCAACCTCCACCCTCAAGAAGGCTGCTGGGGTTCCTTGAGGAAGGCCTAGAATCTTCTTGAGATAGTAGTTTTGCAAAATTTCAAGCCGTTCCAACAGCCTCTGGTTCCACCCCCAGAGTTCTATCCCATATAACATCTGGGGAATAGCTTTCCCAACGAAAGCTCTTAATGCCGGGATCACCAATTGTCCTCCCCTGGTATGGAAGAAACTAAGCAAAACACCAATTGTTCTTCGTGTTAGGATGGTTACAGCCTTAAAGTGGGCTAGCCAGCTAGATGTAGCCTGGAATGTAACACCCAGATATTTAAAAAAGGGCACTGTTCAATCACTTGTTCATCTAAAGACCATCTAAAGGTGTGGCGAGCTCTAGTAAACACCACAATTTTTGTTTTATCATGGTTTATCTTTAGTGAATTATGGGAACAGTAGGCTGCGATCCCCTCCAGCATGCTGCGTAAGCCTCTTCGGGTGAGTGCCATTAAAACCATGTCATCGGCATATAGCAAAATATTCAGGCGTTTACCTTCAAGGGCTGGAGCCGATGACTTGTACTTTGCCATGTACTGGACAATGTCGTTTATATAAAAGTTGAAAAGAAATGGGGCTAGCAGGCATCCCTGTTTGACCCCTTTCCCCAATGGCAGTGGGTCCGTAAGAGTTCCCGATGGCCCAGTTCTGATTTTGACTGTAATGTCTGTATGTAACTCTCTGAGAATTTTTAAAAGTCGTCTGTCAATGTCCGTTTCATATAATTTTTTCCATAGTCTATCTCTACAGATTGAGTCGAAGGCAGATGTCAAGTCTACGAAGGCCACAAAGAGTCTGCTCTTATACGCTTTTGCATATTTAGCTACCAGGGTCTGTAGTACCATACAGTGACCTATCGTATTGTGGCCCTTTCTAAATCCTGCCTGTTCCTGGTTGAACAGGTTAGAATGGTCCGCCCAATCTACCAGCTTGTTTAATAGGTACCGGGTATAAAGTTTGTATGCGATGTCCAGAAGGCTTATAGGGCGGTAGTTTGCTGGATCTTGAATGTCTCCTTCTTATAGATAGGGACTACCACACTTAGTTTCCAATTTGCTGGGATTTTACATGTGTTGTTCATTGCCGTAAAAGTTTGGCCAAAAAGATGGCCCACCATTGGGCATTTAATTTAAAAACCTCAGGGGGATCATGTCCTCGCCAGGAGCTTTGCCATTTTTAAAGTTTTAATTAGCTGTAGGCACTCTGATTCCGTAACAGGATCCCAACTAACTAGATGCTCATTCTTCAATGGGAGGAGCGGACTCAAATTAGCAGTATTTGAGAGTGTGTATAGCTTGAGAAAGTGTTGATACCACACATCGGATGGAATACTGCTGTTTACAATTTTTCCTTTGGATGAGACTCCCTGTGCTACTATTGCCCAGAATTTTCTATCGTCTCGCGATTTAATCGCCTTATCAAGTGCCTCCCATTGTTTCTTCCTGTAAAGGGATTTCTTGAGTTTTAAGGTGTATTTATAGTGAGAGCGCCTTCTGTG